CTCCAGCAATCTGTTACACACTAACCATGTAGACACACTGTGGCAAAAAGATAATATTGCCTCTTTTTTTCATTGCACTAGTAACCTTTAGTCATCTGTTTCTTGAGAGGTTTCAGAAACACACTCAGCTGCACATTTGACAGCTCCTTTATTAATTTATGTTGAGTTGTGACAATCTGTAAAAATGGACAGAACTTTCTTAATGCATTTCAGAAAAAGGAAATCAGAGCTGGAATACTGTGTTAAACGCTCTGAATTCACAGTAAACTCCCAAGTCTTTGCAGTCTTTTGATCAGACTGCCCAGAAATTAAAATAATTGAAAGAGCCATAAACTTTGAAACTTTGAAAGGTTGCATTGTAGTTTTGTCTTGTCTGAAAAGGACAGTATCTAGGACCACTGGACAATTTTGATGGTTGCTTGAGTAGCACCTTATTGCTGGTTTAACTAAGGCAAAATGATAATTAAAGGGGTCAGAAAGTGTAAGGATGAAAAAGTTTAAGATCTCCTGCTGAAACTATGTAGACCAGACAACAAGTGTCAAGCTAAACACTATCCTGTTAGTCTGTCTTTCTCTGTTGTTTTTAATTTGGTTGAAGCTATATTCTGTAATGATTGTGAGGGTGTTAATTCTCTCCTGGTTAAATTCAGATCTGGTCTTGTACAATACAATACTTACCTTCCTCAAGTTAGTGAGGCTATTTTTCATGTTTCTCCATCATGTGTTGTGTAGTGAGGCTGCTGGACTTATTATTTTTAGAATATTATCATTAATAATTAGAATTATTATCCAAGGGTTGAGCCTAAATATACTGTACTATATCAACGCAAATTTACCAGCACCTAGAGTATTTTACTTTGTGGAAACATTGAGGTGGAATATAATCCTAAATTACCATCTAATTTTCATTTCTGCTTAATTGACATAATGACTAAAATCCAATAATTTAACAAAATGTTCCCAGGAGGTCCTCTAATACCCTGGGTTTCAGATCAAAGAACCACCTGATCATACATTTTACAACATACATTGTTTAAGTCACATATAAAACATGCACTAATCTTACAGTTCAGTACATACTGGGGCATTGCAGTCTATTAAATGAAGGGCAATTCAGGACAGGTTTACAAAACACTATTACAGCCAAACAACTATGACAAAATAACAAAAGTGCCCCCTATGAAAATCATGGTATGTGAACGTTTGTAAGAACCTGTGGGATATTTTTGTAAAATGCCTTAGAAAATCTTGTGCCACTTGTTTTCCGGGAGCTGACACAGAATCAGAAGAATCTGAGTAGCAGGACAAGGCTGTCCAAACACTTGCTCGATGTTTCCCAAAACTGTTTCCAAATTAACTATGTAGCCCCCATTTCCACTATTCTTATACAAAATTACTTGCTCTCAGTGCAGTGGGCTGTATCGATTCCAATCAAAAAGTGCTTACACAGAAGGACACACTACAACCCCCCTCCTCCATAGCCGAGCTGATGTCTTCAGTGCACTACATCTAAACTTTGTTAGGAAAACCAATATTGGCCCCATTAATATTTCATCAGCTAGAAAGACTTGTATAACTTAAGAAGCTGGGCTTATAAAAGCCAAGAGTCAATGTAAGATCACTATGTTTCTTTTAATGGGCTGTCAAAGAGCTTTTACAACTTTGCAATGACAAATCAGCATTTTTAGAACAAAGATTTAAATATTCTTAGTTTTTTTTCTCTGCATTGCCATGATCTCATTATATCATTTCATTGCATATCCTTTTCAAGTTAAATTTAAGGACTGGAGAAAACAGAATTCATCAAGAGCTTTTGCAATGAAAATGTTTTTTTGTAGCATTTGTAGTGCTTTCCCTAAGTGCTGTATTTTGTTTTAATAACTATGAGCAGACTCATCTAAAAATACACATTAAACTCACTTTGCACCCTCTTTGCTCATCAATAAGGTCTTAACTCAGATTTGAAAGAGATGGTTCCTCTCAGTTTCAGACTTCCCAAAGTAAAGGAAAAATCAGAAACATAGGTGAGAGGGAAATAAAAATTGAAAGTTAAAAAAGTTAATCAGCTACAATCACTTTGACAGTAAAATGCCTGAGGATATTTTTTGAACCTTATGATAAATAACGCTGCAGATTTTCTGAACTGGTATGAGGACATGCGTCCTGACAAGCACTTCTGAGCTTTTCTTATTTTGCAGCAATTTGGTTAGACAAGAAGGAGTAGATAAGATCTACTGGTTTAACATTACAAAAACTGACTTTTGGCTTTATTCTCTCACACAGAAGAACTTCTGCATCACTAGAGACTAGAATAAAAGAAACTCTCCGGCTTGAGGGGGAATTCCTAGCTCACAGTTACACCTTCATATGTGTAGCAAATTAAGAGTTAAGGTTCACCCAAGCAATGTTATTTTTTTTAGTTGCAACATGATTCAATGTGCACAGATCTCTTTGCAGATGGTTTGACACTTTGTTGCACATGCAATGCTGAACTCCCAGACATGTTTCATTTTTTTCTTTTCATTTTAATCTCTTTAATCAAGTCTAACAATTTGACCTGAAAGAATGAAAAGGCAACCTGGCGATCAGTGTACTCTTGCTCCGTTTTTACATCCTGCTGGAGAAATCCTTCATTGGATTATTTTACAATCAACCCTCTGGCTGATGTCCCAAAACAGGCTCTCCCATCCCTCTAATGCAGATTAACTACTGTACTGCCAACAAGCAGAGATTTTTTGGTTCATACTATCAAAGATGAAACTTTCCATATTTTAGAAGTACCACAAAGATGTTTTAGCATCATGCTGCAGTTAACTTCATTACAAAATGTCTTCAAGCTATGCCTATATGGCAGTGTGTGTGTAATGAATGAAAATCATTCGATTATTTTCAGTATTCAGGCATCCATACTGTAAGTTTGGGTTCTGTCTTTCATACTATGGCCCGATGAAATGCACAGATAATTGACTTATCCAACACTTCAGACTCTTTTAAAAGGAATTGTGGAACTGTGTCACTCAGTAATTCGTGTGAGATAGTAATTGGTTGTAATTGTAAGAATATACTCTGAATCTTCATTCAAATAATCTTAAATAGGGCTGTCCATACTTTGTCCTGGAGATCTGCGATGTTTTAAGTTCAGTTCAGGTCTTCAGATACCCATTTCTACAGCTCACTGGCTTAAATGGGCCATTTAACAACTTGTCTCAGTTATGAAGCTGTTTGCGTTTTAAAGAGATACATCACATCTGCAGGACTACAACCCTCCAGAATCAAGACTGGACAGTAATGACCTAAAACATCATGGAAATTAAAATCTTCTCATTTCTCCCTATGCTGTGTGCAAGTGGGAAAAAATAAGGGTACAAGTCTACTTTTACCTTATGATATCAAAACCCTAGTAAAACCTGAAGACCAAACATATTTCCTGCCAGTATCTACTGAACTTCTCAGGTTACTGATACACAATAATGCCTTAATGCAGCTTTTTTTTTTCAGAATCCTCGGTAAGCTTTTTAAAGTGAAATTGCTGTCTCTTGTGAGAATGTTCCTGATGGTCCTGTTTTCTTTTAAATAAATGAACTCAAGACTCAGTCATAGGTCTTGTTTTCCTAGCCCTTGTTTTCTTTAAGTTGTTTTTGGTCTCCTAAATTGTATTGTTTGATGTTCATGAAAAGTTTAATATAATACCCCCTTGGGCTGTAGGAAAGACTTATTTAACCAGGTGCTGTATAGCAAAGAACTAGTTTACAGCACTTTTTAGTGCCACAACAGCATTTTTTTGTCTTGTATTCTCTGATGACATGTTTTTCACATTAAAAGCCCCTTCATGGGAAATTGAAAAGCTTTCAGTGCTGTTTAATTGAAATAATTTGAAATCAAGCTGAATTTCCCAGTCTCTGTTAAAGCAATGCCAACACAATCCTTATGTGAACAACAGCTGCAGTTTAGTCCCAAAAGACTCCTACTATACCCAGATCCTACTGTCTATGTGATGCATTTGTTTTGCTGAATTATCTTCACCTCAGGGTGAGCAGAAACTACCCAAGCTTTTTAGCAAAATCTGAATTATTGTAGGCTTCGTGTTAGAGCCCTGACTATGTACCAACTTTGATCCTATGTCCTGCATAAGGAAGGTTACTAATGAGAGGAGATTGTGAATGTCCTTCAAGCTCATTTGGCTGTCAATAGCTAATTGATATTTGAATACAATCACATATTTTCTTGAATGATCCAAGAAAGCCATTTTCTGCATCATAGCTGTGTACTTTGGTTCAGAATCCAGCAGCTTGTCATGAGAAGAATTATCCTGTGTTTTCACTCTTAACTGTTCATTTCTGTTTGAGATATCAAGTTCTCAGTTCATTGTTGAGTTTGTAGTCCTTCAGGCTGTTTTTGTCAATGTCCTTGACCATTCTGAATCCCTAATTGAGATGCCTTTAACATCTCCTGAATCTCATGAAACTTTCCTTACAGGAGACCTGTCTTTTTGTGTGTTTCATCTTGTTTAGTATTATGTCACAATAATGATGTAGGTGTTGCCTCTTCATCAGAAAGACCACACCAAAGGACCAAAGCACTAATATGAAGCCAACTGGAGACAGCAGAAGTGGTTCCGATTTTTTTTTATCTAAGACATCTTGTTTTCTGAAGTACGTTGCTACAACATTTGCTTATGAAAGAGGGTAAGGAAAGTTCTTTTATTGTCTTTAGAAACATAATAATTACATTTCCGACTATATAAACATGGTATTTGCCGTGAAACATGGTTTCTTTTCCTTAACCTGAATATGCGCAGCTTCAATGGACTTTAAAGCATTGGCAAACGGGGTTGAAAACAGACTAAACGGCAGCATACCTGTCGAGAACAGCAGTACACGCAATGAAAAAAGTTGTTTCAAAAGCGTCACAACACTGTACAAAATCTTGAATTAAAGAATCGAATGAAGATATTGAGCCCTACAAATTGAGACAGTAGTTGGCCTTAGAGTGCAACTTACCAACGTGCAGAACCTCTCCGGCGGGTTTCCACAGGTTATGCCTTCCGGTTCCACCTTGATTTTCATGTGCTGCTTCATGGATGCTGGTTTGGGTTGGCAGGCGTAGAATTCCCATATCGGGCCGTCATCCGTGCTCACCAGGGACTTGCATATGTCGTACTGGCTCAGAGTCAAAGCAACGCACTGCAGCAGCAACACGAGCTGTCGGAGCATGGCCGTCACCGGGGCCATGTGAACGGTCCGTGGCCGAGAGTCCGGAGAAGGGCAGAGAGTGCCACCGTCGGCTTAACGAGCGCTGGCAAGATCGGCATGGAACCCGATGGCCATTCAGGTGGAAATATCAAAGGATCTCATAGCAAGTAGCGTCCTGAGTGGCTCCGTACAAACTCCACTAACGACGGCGGTTAGTTCTTGAAGGAAAGATGATGTGTCTGTGGTTCAAAACAATTACCAGATGGCTTTAGTGCAAACAGCAGATATGTACGATTTGAAGGTACTAGTTTCTTAGAATGAATAAATGAATATTTTACAATGTGTTTTGTATATTTGTGATTATCTGTGTTGCCTGAGAATCTATGGTGAGGGATGTTCCCTCATGTTATTTGTGCCTTGAGAAACCTAGTGTTGGACCGCAAGTTGTAGCGTGAAAAGATCGCAAGAAGTACCGTAAGGCGGAATTTCGCGAGATACTTGGCACACGAGCACTGAAATTCGACGGTGCCTTTATGAGACCTGGCAGAACTGCTGAAGTCTTCCTTGAGCGCTTCCTTGATCGAAGCTAGAGAATTGGCAGAAACGGATGACACTGATCCATGTGTTGAAACGCGTTTCTCTTGGTCGTTTTTCTGCTGCTTCCAGACTACAAAACAGAAAGCAAAAAGAAATCACCAAGAGCATCAGATACACTACACAGGGAACACTCCTTATCACCACAGCCCTTTTCATCCTAATTAGAGTTGTACTTTGCAGTTTTTTTTATTTTCTAATGCTTTCCGTCGTGTCTGAACTTTACAAATGGTTTTCGATTAAACAACCTTATTTGCATATTTACACGCAAGTGTCAATCAAGAAATGCGATTACATTCATGCACTGCATCAGAGATTTAAAGTTCATTGCTTTACAAGAATTCGCAGTGTAAGGTGCATTCTCGTAGTGTTTTTTAAGTAATAACCCACACTGGTTTAGAGCACATGTGTACAATACTATTGTATTTAGCGTTATGAGCGCTTGTGAAACAGTGGGCGCAAGTCACAGAGGCTTAAAACGGTTAACTTTTACAAGTCACTAGCAACGGAAAGAATGACGCTGCAATTGAGAAACTGAAATCAGACGAACAATCTAAGTATTTAATGCTTCAGATAAATCCAGGTTTTCTGTATTCTGTATTCTCTTTGTTGGCATCTCAATGACTCACGTTTTCACAGTTTGTACTTTATAAAGCAAGAAATCTCACTAAAATTAGAAATTACTGTGCAGAAATGAGTTGCGAGTGCTCATTTATATTAAATGAAATTTCGGCCAACATCCAAATCCGTTTATATGAACACTTGAATCTTCAAGTAAGCCAGAAGAACATACTGGCAAATAAAACTAACCAATACTATAAACATATTAAATATACAGTATATTAACATATTTGATGTTTAGTGATTTATACTGTGCCAGGCAAGTTATGATCAGTCGCTTGTTGAAATGTATTTAATGATCTGGATGTAAAGGAACTGTACTAATAAAAACCGAAGAGACAAATGCATACAGTAAATGCATTAATCATAGTCAAATTATGCACATTGATACAGTAAGGACTAGCGGTCACATAACATCTAAAGCGATGAATAATGAAAAAACGCAAAGATTCAGATCCACTAAATTAGGTTTCATTAAAAATGGTGATTGGAATTGTTCGGGAATGTGTTTGAGATTAAAGTTAACATTTAAAAGTGAAAGCTAAAATACTATAAAATAAAAATGTTTGACGACTTTCGGTAACATTTTCACATATATTATACTCAGTAATCAAATTACTGACATACAGCTATTTAGGAGTATGTATCTGTATTTTTTTTAAACTACTCTTCGGTTGCTTGCAGCACTGACAGAAGAACGCCTCGAGTAAATTATCAGAGGAAATTAAATTTTCTCCACACGTGGCCACTAAGTTGAACATTTCTTGCAAGACATCCTGAAGAATGAAACTCGAGCTTCCTGCACACGGAAAAGCTTTCCATCCTTCTTACTGCTCTGAAATCACCGCGTTAGCAGCATAAAAATAGAAACGGTAAATCTGATTTCATCGATTCTTGTGGGGATTCCGTAAAAAGAACCGAAGCACAAGGAAAGTAAAAACGCAGACGCCGGGCAAGCAAAGAGAGAGGGAACTGCAGGAGAAGCGGGGGTGATCAGCACAAGTACACGATTGATGCGACAGTCGATTGGACGGGTACTTTTCAAAAACCTCATTATACAGATCATACCGAGTCTAAAAGAAGTTTTAAATGACAGTGAGTATATTGAAACATGTTCATGTGTGGGACAAGAGCTTATCATCGGACGCCCACTGTTTATTTAGTATTTCATTTTTGAAAACTTAAAAGTATTTCAAAGAGTTGGGAAAGAGGGCTCCACTTGTTGGCTGAGTCGTTTGATCGTGTCAAACCTGTAAGACGTGGGTCACCGCAGACAACACAGATCCCTAAAATGTATCTCAGCCTTTGGCATAGATTGCACATGGGATTACTCAACAGACACATTCAATCAGAGTGAATTTTTTGAGATAGTCGTTCTTAATGCTCACCTTCTGTGCGGCCAGTGACAGTAAGCGTTGTATTCCCTTGTTACGCGAACCCCCTTCAAAAAGTATTCTCAACTTGCTGCAGTCCTTTCACCACAAAAGCACTGGGACGCGCCTCTGAATTCAGTCCTACTGTACTCCCTTCTGAAAGTCGCTTACACGGGATGCGCTTCCTGGCATTTGTTCGCTCTTCTGCTTGGTACTTTCTTTAATGACAGAGACGAAGGCACCACGGACCGCTGTGATGGTGCCCTAGATCCCGCAGTGATATCAGTAAGCAAGTTCCAAAGACGAAGAAATGTCATCAGTGAAAGTGATGACTTTTGAAGGGAGCTCTTGCCCAGCCCGACTCTCTTCTCCCTACTTTAGCAGGTCGGCTTTGCCCTGTGCGCTCAAGGGCAGATACAGGAGCAGGAGCTTCATGGAAAATGTCCCTCCCCGCTCTCGCGCGCTCTCTTCCTCTCTCCCTCCCTCTCGCACGAAGTTAATACTGATGCTAAATCCTTTTTGCCATCACTTTCAATCACTATCTGAGCTTTTATCTCAATGCCCGATAAGGGCTGCGCAACTTCCTCTCTCAGGCTTGAAACTGAACCATCCCACAAGCCGACCGGGCTCTGCTGCTTAAAGGAGCAGTTCCTATAGAGGAATATTTTAAAGACACAAGGAAGCAGTTCTCTCCCAGTGAGTGCAAACGAGCGACTAGACTGATGATGTAGTGGTTTAACACCATGGAGTTGCAGTTCTAATAAAGTCCCCACCTGCTGTGCGCGGTTTTTCCTGACAACCAATTATTTCATAGAGAAAATATGATACACATGCCGTCTGTCATGGTTACCTTTTATATTTCCATCTATTTCAATTTTCGTCTTTTGCGTACTTAAAAATAGCTCACGCCTAGTCAGTACAATTAATCGTTTACAAGAAAATGCGTTAGTAAAAGTGATGAATGTTTAATGCCTTTCATTTTTCATTTTTCATCAAAATATCATTTGGCGGTCGTACACTATGTTACGTACATCTCAATAAAAAATTATCATACAAATGACGTAAAAGACAGCCCGTGACTCTTTATGTAACCATGCCAGCTTCCAATGAATGACATCAAGACTTAAAAATTACTTTGCCAGTTGCCTGCCACAACATTATTGCAATCTCCTCCTCCTCTTTAAAATTAATTCACTTTAGTTGGTTTGTTTCCAGTCTGCAAAACTGGAGCAATTATTTGATAACTTACATCTGCATCTATGAGCCTTCCATTTTCACATATCTTATTCAGACTCCTTCCGAAAGGTCACTGAGGTACGTTAAAAGCCTCTCAGTCTTCGATCTTTCCCAGAGCGGTTCATTTTGACTATCATGGAGTAAAGCACCAAATAATTTTATTCCTTATATTGTGGTATGTTGCTCACTACCACAATATCTGTTCCCCCTGATTTAAATAACACTCATCGCAAGTTCTTAGTCACACAGTGCAATGGCCTTGTTTAAAAATCATCAATGAAGTTACAGAAAGATTAAAATGCCAACATTAACTTTGAGTTTGACTTTATATTTCCGTCTTTGCCTTCAATCATCCTGAAAGAAAGTGCGTATTTAAAAACGCTTGCTTGAGGTACTACACATCATTTGCAAAGAAAGATTAATGATGAAAACAGGGGCACGCCTCACAACCATGGGTACAAATGAGAAATATTGGATGCTGAAATATTATTCTCTCACCCTGAACTCACCACCACATTGTGTATTGTGCTTTGCCCAGTCAAATGCTTTCAGACAACACGGAAGGAAAAGAGAGGGTTTACTTTTGCAAAATTAACAAATGGTAGGACTGTCAAGCCCTACTGTACTTGTAACAGCTATTCTACAACATTGGAGCTGTCCGTGGAGCTGACCCACGTAACATATACTGTATATGATAAGCTTACCAATGGCGTTACGACTATCTCGGAGCCGTTATAAACCCAATCGCTTTTTTCTCTGTCATTTCATACGCGTTAAACTCTTCGTCCAATTTAGTGCCAATTACATTCGATCTCCAACTACACTTCGGCGTAGAGCAGGAGACAGTGTACGCAAAGCACTCTAACGTTTCAATATAGCTTTTATTGTAGCACTGCACAACCTGCCGTATTCAAAAGGGGAACAGTATATGAAGGCTAAATATTAACCTGAAATATTAAACATCTATGATTTAAGACAGAGAACACTGTCACCCCCACCCACTCCAAACACATGTGAATAAAATCTGAAGATGAATGTACAGTATTTGGCACAAACCAATTACTTGTGTCTCCAAATTACGTAATTCTACTTTTGTATGAAAGTGAATCTTATGAGGTTACTTAGATCTCTATACACACAAAGAAAACACAATTTAATTAATGACTTCTGCAATTAAGATAATCCTAAGGCTATTCGTATCATTATCGTGTTTGAGCGACCTACTGTATTGGTTAGAACGTTTCTCATGCACATAAAAGGTCAAGAGATACTGTGCATCTAATGCTCGCCTCCGTTCATCTCACGTTTTATGCTGCTTTGCAGTCACGTCGCCATTAACACAAATGTCGATGTGAATTATAAATCCCAGGTTTATAATTCAATGTATGATTAAAAAACAAGGCTATCAAATTGATGGACTTCATGTTCACTGTATGTTCTATACAGTAACGTACAAGGCACGAATCCGTTATTTATGAGGTATAAAGTATATATATATCTTAATGTAACACTATAACTTACACAATTATACAGTATTCTTAATATTTCTCAGCTGTGTTGAAATATGAAAATTGATGTTAAAATGATTAGCCTGAGAGGTTCGATTCGGATAACTATTATGCTATAATGAAATGTATCTTTGACGTCTCTTTGTTCAAACGACAAAAAAGATATTAATCCATTAACTACAGTTACCTCGCATAACCAGCTCTGTTTTCCTAGATTGTGGAATCCGACTCCGATGAAAGCCTATTTAACTGTTTCTGTTAATGTCAAGTTTGCTGGTTAAAACGATCTCAAACTAAGACTAGTGTACTCCAGCTCTGTGATTGTTAAACTGTTTCGGAGTTGTATGTTTTAAAAATAAGATCATAACAAGAAACAAGGTAAAGCAATACAGGGGAATTTTTTTTGCATTAACATTAACATCGACATAAGTTAAAATATTGTACACATTTAAAATTTTTCATTTGGTTAAAGCCCTTTACCAATTATAAAATACAGTATTTTTCTCTTTTTCAGTTATACTCTAATGGCTGTAGGTAAAAATAATGTGCTTAGTAAATAGAGACTGGTGTCAAGAATGATTATAGCGAGGCCTAAAAGCTAAAATAATTTAACTTGTGCTAAATCACAGCCAAAACAATTTCAAGTATCAGTGCTGAGATGTATACATTTACACGGTGACCTTTCAATATCAATTTAATAGAAGAGTTAGAAATCTTTTAATTTACTTCTGTTTCTATATAAATATATATTAAAAAGGAAAGCACACCAAAAACTGTACAGAATGCGCTTGTTAACACGTTCTGAATAAAATGCCCCCAGTAGCATGGAGTATAGCAGATGTAAAAAACAGGTGAAAGAAAGGATATCTTTAAAAATACAAAACAGTTGCAGAATTAAAATGGTTTATCTCTTGTAAGCTAAATTAAAGAATTGAAGCACGCATTTAGTGGATTAAAACGAGACGTTTTTGCATGACAAGGTATTTAATCGATTTTCTTAAGTCCGCCTATAGCCTGAGTGTAAGTGTAATAATCACCTAGAAAGAACAAAGAACTATTGTGTTCTATAATCAAAGAATTAAATGAAAAGGAAACATCTTATAGCTTAAATAAAACAAAAAGCTATCACATTCGTTGAAAACTAATGCCAGCAATATGGAATATAACTTACTGAAAGATTAGCAATAATTAGTGAAGACATAAGAAAATACAGAATTGTTCAATTTCAGACAATTGATGCCCACAAAAATGTACTTATAACAGAGCCAAGGATATGAGGACTTTGAACTTTGACTTTAAATCGGTTTATTTGAATTTCGTTATTAGAGAGACATGAAGCCATTGTCAATACGTCAAAGTACAGCCAAGTAATTAAGTAAAATTAGTAATCAAGAATGTTAATTTCCAAATTGAAGCAATCATCTTTACTTGTTTTTCACTGTACGTAGGAAAAACGTAATTCAATATACATTCACAGTCATAACAGGATTATGCTGAACAGTTCGATTCAATTTGTTTTAATGATTTCTGTGTGCTAGAAGTTGCTAAACCTTTTTACTCTTAAGTTTATGAATCTGAAAAAGCCAATAAAACAACATAGCAAATTGTAAGCCTTTTATTTTTCAAGCAACCGTTTCTATTTAGATGCTTTTAATTTTTCAGTAAGTAGGACGTTAATTTTATGTGCTTTAATTTAATTTTCCCTGAATTATAACAGGTAGTATTTCTTAATATGCGCGCCTTATTACAAAGCAACTGAATGTCAGATAATAATATTCCAATGAAAGGACAAAGCTGATCAATACGAAAAACGCTGAGTACGCTTTAAAAGGACCCTGAAGAACTCATGTAGAATAGCTGTCAACGGGCCAATCATAATGGAAGCCTGCTGCAGTTCTAAGGGTAGATGTTAACGAAAGGGGGCTGGTGAGAAGGTACTCCAGCACTTTTAAAGCTTGCCACGCACAACGACTTGGAAGAAACGCAGAACCTTACTGGGTCTGCTAGCATTGACAGTATCCTGGAAAGCGAATCGATAGGTTGTCCTTGCAAACTGTCTCCCCAGTCTATCCATCTCCGGGTTCTTCTTTTTAACCCTACTGTTTGTGATCAGCACTTGCGCTCTTGACCGGGCACAACAGTAGTTGAAATGCGGGATCATGGTTTAAATGGCATGACTAGCCCAGCTCTACCCCTCTTCACATATAACACGTTTAACATAAGAAACAAGGAAAAAAACGCACAGTTGCTAGTTGGAGGGGCTTTTATCTGTTCTGGAAAGAAACAATTTCTCACTTGCAAGCTGAAGTTGCGATAGCCTTGCTACATTACTTGGGTGAAAATATAAAAAACCGTTCCTGCATATTAGCAGACGCGGTAGGCCTATACTTTAGTGTCTGATCACTGCGGATAAATGCTTCGGTGTCAGTATCTTCTGACTTGGACTTGAAAGTCGAGACCCTATTCATTGCTGAGAAAACGGACAACTGAAACCACAATCCTTTTGATAAAGTAACAGTCTGTTACCTTACAACCCAATATTTAAAACATCTTTAGAGGTTCAGTCAAAGCATGCGCAGAAGCAAGTCCTTATTATTAATTAATCAAGGACATCTACAGAGAATTAAGACTTTAATTCAACATACTGCAAAAATCTATGTCTGGACTTCAAGTCTCTTTTGGCTACAGTTGCCTTGTCGTGAATGACTTCAATACGTCACTGCCTCAATGATATGGAATATTGAACAGGGAAATCGATAAAATTAAAGAGCAGCATCCTGATCATTGAAGCTTAAATGACTTAAATCCTCCTCAACTGCTTCTCATCCGGACACTGTATTTCATTTCGCTAGTAAAGACAGCGACCTTCACATTGAGGGAACAACGACTTTTTGTATAAAAATAGGAAACAGTGAAGTAATAGTCTCTTCTAAGAATTACCCGGAAGTCATTATTGCTGGTTTCAGGGCAAGAAAAAATATAGTTTACAGACACTACATCTTTCATTTTTCTCATCCACGCAGCCAGGAAATGAGGTTAACAAATGTATTAACAAACAACAGCCAACAAACAAGCTTTCCTTGAATGCTTACTCACATTTTTCAAATGTAACATAATAGTTTGCAGAACTGACACAATATGATGTTTTTTTAGCGTTTGCAGTTGATTACACTCCACAGTTTCATAAAACTTCACGACCTATTATAATGTAGTATTTGTTACATTAAGTAAAACGGGGACTTTTAAGGAACATTGAGGACTCTATTCACCGTGCCTTTTAGAGCTAACAAAATTATGTGTGTTCTTTTTCAGACTTTAGAACTCTCCTTTCTTGAATTTTCTTTATTAGCAAAACCATTAAAACCGAATTTAGCTTGTTTGGATGGATTCAATTGTTGCTTGGATACGCGTTGTTATTATTAATAGTCTATTAATAAATTAATTTAGAACAATCAAGTTACTGTATATTGTGGCCGGCATCTCCCCAAAACAAGGCAGTCTATTGACGTGGAAAAGAGCAAAGGAAAAAAAAGTCTTGCTCACAAAACACTACAACTCCCATGAACACCAAGGAGTGACGCAAATTGTAAGCGTCTGTATGTAAACAGCACTCGCAAGTCGAAAATGGCGGATGTAATGAGTGTTGGAGTGAATTTGGAAGCTTTTTCTCAAGCAATAAGCGCAATTCAAGCTCTTCGGTCTAGTGTGACTCGTGTGTTTGATTCCCTGAAAGATGGCATGAAAAATAAAGAAACTCTGGAAGGCCGGGAAAAGGTTTTCATTACAGAATTCCAGGACAATTTGCAGTCGGTCAACCGTGATTTGAAGTGAGTAGTTCCTGTAGTGTGATGCTACTTTTCTAGGACTTGCACATTATTAGTTTGCTACTTCAGTAAATATGTCTGTTCATTACAGTATTTCCCCTCTACTTGGTAAAAAGTCCTAGGAATCGTGATTGAACTATATTTTCTTCCTCCCCTAAAGGAGATACATATTGTCTTCCACATTCTCTAATTGTTGCATTCAGCAAAATCCTTTCAATCAAGAATCAATAATCCTGCCGGGACCACATCTTAAACTCATTCCAACACCAATTATCGTCTCTGATTAATTATTAAATTATATGAATACTTTAAATCAGTTGTTTGTATTGGACTGCAATTAACAATGCTTGCAATTACCATATGTACATATTCAGTACAGCTTACGATATCACCGGCCACCTTATGTCATAAATGTATGACGTGACAACAGTTATGGTGGGTAAGAGGTTTTATTTTAAAAACTCCTCGTCTTTTATTTCAGGAAAGTATTATGTATCCTGTATATACTCAGTGCATCGCTATTTGAGGAAGACGAGACTTAGATTTTAGTTTTTAATGACCGTTGTTCGCTTTGCTTCCACTACTAGCAGAAAACGATAGTTTGGACCTTTTATTACCTTTTGTGCTTGTTCACAATGAAAAAGAGGAGATAAAACTGTCAACCCTTTATTTTAATTTTTGGAGGACAGTGAGGTTTTAAAACTTGAATCTATTAATGCTTTGTCTTTGAGAAAGGAAAAATACCCAGAATGAAAGAATTTCCTTTGTTTCCCTACAGTTATGTATCTGCAAATTTGAAACGATCAGTCACTAATACGATAGTACTGGATTGTCTTATTTCTCAGAAAGCTGTCTCACATCAGAGCTGTTATGCTTACACACACAGAAACTTCCAAAATCATACAAACAGTAAGAGTTACATTACATTACAAATAAACAGTACATTACATAACAGATATAATTTATCGCTCTGTTTATCACTGTCTTGTGCAATCCAGTGGGTAAATAAGCCAGAAAGGCAATAATATTTACTAAACTAAATGAAAATGGGACTAGCACTGTTAGAGCTTAAAGGTGAGATTTATTTTACTTGTGCCCATATACAGTTACATGTTAATATCAAGGCTAGATGTGACATAATACCCTGTAACTCATAATATTGGTGATATGGGTTAAGTGCCAGGCAGCTGATGACTTATCTACCCCATGTGATGAAAAAGGTGATCCATTCTTTTTGCTGTGCAGTGAGCTGGAACGCCTGAGTAACCTAGTTGGCAGACCTTCTGAAAGCCACCCCCTTCACAACAGTGGACTTCTAAGTCTTGATCCAGTGCAGGACAAAACCCCTCTCTACAGCCAGCTACTCCAGGCATATAAGTGGTCCAATAAGGTAAGAAATGATTATGAATGATTTGGTCCACATACACTTAATTTGGTTTCTTTTCTAAGTGCAATAAGTAACTTACAAGAAGAAGGCGTATTTCTGTTTCCTCTGAGTGGTGGTGTTTCGGTTGTTAAACATGGCTGTCTTACCTCTAGAGCTGGGGTTTGTTGTTGTCTGCACGCTGTTGTTCCCACTTACGATAACTTGCAATGAGTTGATGTTATGAGCCTTTTAATTTGCCTTTTTCTTACTGAAGTGTAGAAATCTGGCTTTGGACTGGGGTCATTGCTCCTGACTTGGCTGGAGGGAATTTTAAACAGACACCTGCTGTTGTATGTGACACCTCAGAAATAGCTGAAAGGTGGGATAAGAAGGAGTACACACTCATAAACCCCCATTCATGGTATTGTAACGCTTCAGGGTTAAGGTGGGCGCCCTCGACCGCTGCCATATCAGGTCGGCCCCCCACCGTCGGGGACTCGAACCCAGGCCTCCGGCGTCGCTCAACAGGGACCCAGCCTCTTGAGCCAAAGGGAAATCTCCCATCAGTGGCTGCGGTCCCTGCTATTCACAGGGAAGGGCGGTGACGTCACCGCGCTGGTAAGACAGTTCTCACAAGCAATGGAAGCCATATGCGTTACAGTATTAACATAGGAACATGTAGTTCAGGTGGGTAGCTGCGTCAGCATGCGTAGGCTGCATAGGAACAAGTAATTGGTTTATTCCATGCTGAAAAAAAAGAAGGAAGAGAATACAATGTTTCGGCCGTGGAGCCTTCTTCAGGTGTGGGAACATGGCTGGACTCGGACTATAAAAAACTCTGTAACACAGGGCACTGTGAAAAATACACCTATGTGCCTCCTTCAGTGTGCTCTGGAAGTGGCCATTTGCATTACAAATAATTTAATCTCTAACCTTCAATGGACTGTGCTGTGACTCCTTGCATCCCTACAGAAGTTAAATTTTAAGTTGATCTGCTGAAACTTGGAAATAATTTGTCAGCCAGGCTGCATGAGTGAGAAATTAGGATGACAGAACAACAGGATTATTTGTAGGTTTGGGGGTCTTTTTGTTTTTCTGTCTGATGGGAATGAACAAGACTAAACAGCAGAGTTGCCGTAGAAATGCCGTCACATTTATTTGAAAAGGAATGACTGAAAAGTGAAGAGAATATTGTAGAATACGGGTGCGACTGAATAATGTGTGGTAACAGTGGACTGGAAAGTAAAATATCTGATACACATCCAACATGCTTCAATATTCTTCTGATGTAGAGGCCAGCAAAACTCCTCAAGCACTCAGCTTTCCAAAGTACAAATATTGGCTGTGCCTATTGTGCTTTAAAATGTATTCCTGCTGGACTGAGCTGGTTCCAGGTGAAATGTTCACTGCTTCCTCTGTCCATTTTGATTAATGTTGATTCAAAGAGCTACTGAGGAGCCTTTCTTGGTTTTAATTTTTAATTATGGGACTTGTTTGCTCTCCCTCCTTGCTGTATTTTTGATGAGAGGAGACGTGGGCATTTCCTTGAGGACTCCCGTTAAAAACTCCCTGGCTGTCACTGTTTGTCTTGGTGACTGTTCCTACATTTACGAGCAACTTAGAAACCAAGGAAGGCCAGGAGTGGTGATGCAGCTATTGGAGGAGTGTGATCAGGGCCAGGTTTTTGGAGGACAGTCATGAAGGGCAAAGAATTGTCTTTCCCTGTGCATCCTGCTTGTTCTTTCCTTGTGCAACCGGTGAGCTTTGCCAGGGTCTTGCTGTGCAACGATACATCATCCTTCCACTAAATAGTGTGATGAAGACTAATGAGAAGAAGAAAATTGGCCGCCACACTTGCAAACCTTCCACTGTAATTTTTTTTTAATGATTCAGCGAAATGTGAAGTAGGAGTATCTTCCATTAGTCATTCTTTTCATTTTAATCAATTATTATCGTACATCAGTAATGATTAACGTGCAGTAAATCAGTGGGCAGACATTTTTGCCAAGTGCAACTTTTTGGACCTGTTAACTTTTGTAAACATGTTCTGTTTTAGTTTTGAATAACACTTGCCAAACTAATTTATTTAAAATAGTTTCAATCCTTAAAACTATACAGTTTCTTTCTCCTCTTTTGCATCCTCCTAGAACAATATGGAAATGCACATGCTGATCATTTTGCTAATGTGACAATTGCCCAAACTGAAAGAAAAGCAAGTATTTTGTATTCAACCTCACACATCAGGGATAGAAGGCTAACTTGAAACATGGCAACACTTGTTCTTTAAATGAATTTTCCTTGGAATTTTACTTCAACAGTAAAATGAGAAAGGAATAATGAGAAAACATTTTTTTAATTGTTTAAAGTTGTCAAGACCATCACAGATACATTACTTTAAATCAATATCAGGAGGGTTAATAATTTTTAGAAAATCTGTGAACGGGATTGTGGCTGCTTCACGTATAACAGAAGGAAGCTATTGTAGAAATGTGTAAGCAATCACACCTTTGCTATTATAAAACTATGCAGTTCTCCTTGATAAAAGCATAAATTCACATCCTAGAATCTTATCGATTAGAAACTACTACACTACAAACTAGTGTGTAGATGACAACTACACACTACACACCAAAAGTACTGGAGGTAAAGTTAATGTTTGTGTTTCTTCAGTGTTTTAGACACATGGTTGAAACGTTGTTACGCTACTGTCTGAACTTACCCTTTGGATCAGAGCGCTGTCATTTCCTAGATACAGCCTTAACTGGGCTTCTAAATGTAGTAAACTAGAACATCAGCTTTGGTGAACAAATAAAAAGTTGAGATATGTTGTTTGTAAGAAATATGAATAACCCAGAACCGCCTGAAGGACATCACAATGTAGTGTGAACTTAAGGGACAGCACAAGTAGTATTTGCTGAAAGTATTTGACATTTTTTAAAGCATACCAAAGTGTCTCCCAGTGCTAAGCCCTTTTGGTGTGGGTACATTAGTGTGGGCAAATCCATTTGCCTGGGGCTTGTAAGGTAGCTGGTTTAATTCAGAGCACATAGTTTATATCTGAAGGCTTTGCTGTGCTGTGGTCCAATGGGCTTTCAGTTAACATGAAATCTTAATTCACAAGTCAACGGTGACCTATTTTTACTTGTGATGCTACTATATGCAAACAATGCAAACATCTTGGATGTGGTTAAAATGTGGATCTGATTTTTAAATTTCCCACAGTTGGTGTATTGAGAAAATAGTTTGAAATGCTGATGAGTAAAAAAAAAAATGCGTGATTTCAATTTAATGTAATCATGTCAATTTAAAATGTTTAGGGAATATTAAAAGTTAAGTTTCTAGTTCATTTCAGTACAAGCTCCTACCACTTAAGGTCTTTCCTGTCAATTTTTGTTAGTTATCTTTGATTTAAGTGCTAATTTATTTCAGTTAGATGCATGCGCTAGAGCTCATTATAAAATACTAGTATCCCACGTTACAGGAGTTTCAAGAAATGAGGAATCTTCTCCTCTGCTTTTAATGTCTCTACAACAAGATATAAAAACTGCAAAGCTGTTAAGATATTGAAGAAACAGTTCCCTTTAATTGATTTAAATAGAAATGTCTTTGAACAGTATTCTGCACAGACTGATATAGTTTTCTATGGGATTATTTGCAATTATTAGCATTTAGTGGCAGTTTAACAATGGAGCCATTGTGAACTTGCAAGTCATATTTCAAGGTAATTGATGTTGTCTAAGGTTATCTGTGAGATTTTGACAGCTGGTATAGAATTATTTTAAGGCCATTCATCTTTAAGAAATTATACACTGAATGAATGAAACATTCTGTTTTAATTTAATAAGGTACTGGGGATTGGCTCTGTTCAGCAGTTTACCAATTATTCCTTCTTGGTGTTTTTATACTAAAAAAGCACAGACTGTAGTCAATTGCTATAGTTGGTTCCAAGCATTTTAAAAAGAATTACTTCTGTGTTCTCTAATAATTTTTTCAGTGATTCTCAAGAGTCAGCTGCCATTGTTCAAGTGAACCAGACGCTAGTTTATTGACCAAATTCTCATTGAGAGCTTGGTGCTGTAACATTAGTGGAATTGAAAAATGCCTACTTCAGGGAAATTTCATCAGCTGAAACCTGTAGTTCACTTCACATACTTTTTTCACACTGACATTTCAGCTTTATAACCCTCTTTACTGCAAGTAGGGAGGTTTGTTAATGTAGAAAGCCAGTCTTTGCCAAGTAGGTTTAGGTATGGGAAGTGGAGTCAGGTTGGTAAAAAAGCCACTGCAGGGTTTCTTGTTTTGTACAAATGTTACTGTTACTGTTTTGATCCATCTGCTGCCAATCAATTATTTCTGTCTAGAACATTGAGCATAGTTCTGTACTGTACACCATGTTGAGACCATCAAATCTGAACTGTTTTCTCACAGCTGTTTTTAATATGAAAATTATTTTATGTTGATTTGCTATATTGGGCCATGTGAGCTATATACAAGACCAGTACTTTTCTTCATAATTCTTTATGCTGGGGGTGCTTTGTATCAGTAGCTGGTCAGAATGAACTGTAGATTAATTTGATTCAAGTTTTTAATCCCATTTGAAATTTTGCTGTGATTAATGTACTTCATTCGTCCATGTTTACCTTCTGTACACCCACATAGACAAACAAAATCCACTTAAACACCTCCTGTGTAAATCCTGTGGACTTCAACCCTGATGCGATATCATCACAGTAGTACCCAGGGATACCTGTCAAAAAGAATAGCAGACTCTTAATCTAATAGAAATAATTATAATATTTTTCTCTTACAGTCTAATGCATTTTGTTCCAGGCAGTATACCTGAGATCAGGTTACACTAATCAATGCTTTGGGAACTATTCGTCAGTGTAACATTAAAAATAAACATACACCAATAGCTACCATCCTGCTGAATCGGTGAATAAGTGAATGTCTGATAGCATTGACATTATGAGTTATATCAGCATTGACCAATTTCACATTACAATGATTTTTCTGTTTAATAG